AAACAACATGAATCAAACATGCACTTTATTTATTTCCACTAAATAACAAAAGTACATCAAAATGATTGAAGCTAAGGGCATACAAAACTGTCTAACAGGTGGAGAGATTAGAGAGGAAGAACGCAGAAACTTAGCAGCAATGGCTTGTTGTTCACAGCTGCTCGGAGCTTGGTCTGCCAGTATTACTAACCTGCGCCTCCAAAGAGTGGTTTATTCATCTTCCCTAAACCTTCATCCTTATCTGTGCCTAATCATCAGCATAGATGCAGAACTTCTCTCCAGGTTTCAACAATGGCAAAGAAGAGGAGCGAAGAAGCTTCAGTTCAGCAACAAGCAAACTCTAGAACAGAGAAGCCAATAGAAGAAGAGGAGGAGGAAGTAGAGGAAGACTTTCCGTGGATTCAGGAGAAGGCCATGGACCTGGTGGATTCAAGAGAAACTTGGTTGCTGACCTAATTCAACCCAGAAAAGCATCTATGTTGGATGATGCCCAGGTTGCTGAAATTTTAAATGAGATCTCAAGACGGATTGTGCGAAAAAATGGTCCAGTAGTAATGGATATGTCAAGATACTCGGAAAAGGGTTTAAAACGAAAGCTTCCTGTTCAGGCCCTTTTTGGGAAGATATTTTATCTATCTGAACTGTCAAAGAAATATTTGGTGTTACAGATGAAGATCTCGACACTCTTCGAATACATACTTTCTCCAGTGATGGGGATGTTGGTTCAATTCAGAAGATGGTAGATAGTCCAGAATCAGGGGAATCCAGTGACGATTCATCCAGTGCTTCACGAGATTGATAATGTAATTCTGGGAGCGTAGAAGCTGGGGGCAAATTGCAGTGTTGGGCTCAGTTTAGCATGGGGAGAATCAGAAGAGTAATTTGAGGGTTTAGTAGCCCCACAGAAAGATGGTCTTATATATTATGTAGTTTCAGGAGATTTTGTTTTCTTATAAGCAGTTCAGAAGAAGATAATGTGAGAGAAGAAAATTCTGGCGAGTTCCATTTTTTTTTCATGGTAATACATTCTGTGAGCTTGAAATACTAAATCGATGGTCTCATCTTGCTTTTATATTTCAAAAAACACTGATTGTGGCCATGGTGGTGGCTAGCAGAGTCTTTTGGATTTTGTTTCATTTTCTTGAAAAAGATGATGAATAGTGTATTTTATTTTTAAGGGTAATTTTAACATTTTCAAGTCTTAAATTGCATGTAAGGTTACATAGTATACATAACTGAACGATGGGTACTAGATTGTCATTTAAAATTAAAATACTAAATTGGCACTCAGCCTAAAGTACAAGGTACCTATGGGAATTTTCTCTAACCTTTTCAAGTCCCTTGAAATTCAACGCAACATTATGAAATTCTCAACGCACCCAGGCTTCAGTAAGGTTGATTAAAACCTTGCCAATGCAAAAATATTTCACAGGTATCAAAATTAATTTTAACAGTTTCCTCTTTGGAGCATTTCCTTTTAATCGGCCTACTTTCAAATTCAGTCTCGCTACAAAAATGCTGGATTTTATGACCATCAAGTAATCAGCCGCGTTCACATCTCCGGATTGTCCTGCGACATGATATCAGGATATGCGAACTCCAAATTCCAATGAAGAATAATAAAAAGAGTCTCGATTGATATGGAACCTCGGCTTGGTCGTGTTATTGTTTAACCAACTTCCTTGATTACGAGAGAGAACACTACCATGTTACAAGAAGTTTTGGCAAGAGATTTGGGTCTTTTCTTTGCTATTGAAGGGGATTGTTCCAACACCATTAGATGATGCTGGTAGTGGACAGGAGCCTTGGGAAATAGCCCCCTATCTCAATGAAACTAGATATATCCTATTGGCCTTTTCTGTCCAAAAGAAGCGGATCTCTAAGGAATTAAACTTGGTTGCAGATGGACTCAATTTTTTTAGTACCCGTTGCATCCTCTCACGTAGACTACACATTGTGACTACCAATGAATGTATGGTTACATTTCTCAAAACAAAACGACTGATTATAATGTTTAATTCTCTTTCCCTCTGCCCAAAAATGAATACATCATGAATTAAATATGTACAAAAAAAGATGATTGTGCAGCATGATATGAAATTACAATGAAGATACCACCTGGGCGTTCACTGTTTCTCCAAGTGCTTTCATGATCGAGAACCATTAGGAATGGGCATCCAAACCACACTGGTCCCACCGCTGCAGATCAGTACACTATACCATGTCTCTGATGTTGAACATATGCATCTCCACACATTTATTCTCAGCCCCATTATAAGGAATTATGCATCCATATTGCAGGTCATTTTTCACGTACACAACTCAAGACTGACTACTCAAAATAGCCTGAACTCTGCAAGATGATGTAATGACTGCCGTCAATGTTCTTCGTTGAATCACCGCAGACATGCCATGAGATAGTCCCTGTATTGAGTACAAAGATAAGGGGTTCAGGTTTAAGTATCCGAATATATGAGATAAATGTTGAAGAAAACAACTTTGATTTGTCTATGGCACAAAGAGATGAAAACTGAGATATGAATTTTGGGTTCCGGTTGTGGAGAGGTTTGAAAAGAGACTTGCCAATTTGAAGAAAAACTATTTGTTTCTTGGAGGGAGAATCACCCTAATTAGGTCCACACTAGCTAACCTTCCTGTCTATTTTTTGTCAGTCTTTTAAGATTCCGATTAGGGTGGCTAGCAGGTTGGAAAAACTTATGAGAGATTTTCTCTGGGAGCCGGGGGAGGACAAGGACTATAGGGTTAGGTGGGAGGTGGTGTGTAGGAGCAAGGAGGGAGGTTTGGGAATTGGGAACATGAGGAATAGGAACTTAGCATTACTAGGGAAATAGCTATGGAGATTTTCATTGGAGAAAGAAAAGCTTTGGGTTAAGATAGTGGGAAGTATTTATGGGGTGGCAGACAATGGATGGGATTCTGGGATTCTAGCAAGGACTACAAGAGCATCTCCCTAGAAAGCTATTCAAGCTACTTTGTTCGTGTTCTCTCCCTAGATCAGGTATGACTTGTACTCAGGCAACCTAATTAAATTCTAGGAACATGTTTGGGTTGGGGATTCCCCTTTGAAAGATCAATTTCCAACTACTTTTGCTATCTCTACCCTTAAAAATGAACCAGTTTCCTCCTTCGTTGTACCTTCCCTAACTCACCTTCTGGATTCGGTTGGAACCTGGATTTGAGAAGAGATATCAGGGACACAGAATTAGGCTGTATTTCAGCCTTATTATCCATCCTTGAAGGGATTTTCCTAGAGACAACAAAGGAAGACAATAGAATTTGGACACTCACCCCCTCGGGTTCCTATACCTATGCCTCTTTCTTTAAGGCCCTAATACAACATTCTTCTGTTGGACTGTCCTTCCTTGTTAAAGAGGTGTGGTGTTGGGAAGCCTTTCTGGAAAGAGTTAATACAGGAGATTTACTTCAAAGAAAAAGACCCAATAGCTGTTTGTCTCCTCATTGGTGTGTCCTCTGTAAATTTCATGGTGAGTCTGGATACCATTTACTAATTTCCTATCAGTTTGCTAAAGCCATCAAATTTACCATACAACCATTCCCAAGTCTCACTTTGATAGATTCCACCTATCAAAATTGTTAAATTCTTGATCTTTATTTTTAATTTACTAAAATTTCATCCTCTGACCTCTCTTAGAGGAGGTAATAATTCTGAACATTTTTTTTATTGGAAACGGTAACTTCATTAATATAACTTAAAAATAACTTTCCAGATTTAAGTACAGCTGTCAACCCCTAAGTAGGTGTTGAGCCCCCAGTAATCTTTCTTACAAAACTGCCCAGAACATACTCTCCCTCACAGTCCCTTGTTTAGCCAACGTGTTAGTTAAACAATTAGCTGATCTCCTTGTCCATTTGAAGCATGCACCGATCTCCCTGGTTATGTTGAGGATTTCCCTTATGGGCTGTCTATAAATCTAGGCTCCCAACTTACTAGACTGCAGCCACTCAATCGACAATTTAGAGTCTCCCTCTATCTCAACTTGGTGTAACCCCAACTGTTTTGCATATCTTACACCTTGAAGCAAGACCATCATCACCTCCACTCTCAATGAGTCCCCCACTCCTATTGGTCCTGAAAACAAAGCCACAATTCTGCCATTTTCATCTCTGAATACTCCTCCTATACCTGAAGGGCCCGGGTTACCTCTTGAATTCCCATCAAAGTTCAATTTCACTCTTTGTTGTGTTGGTGGGGATCACAATTCTCGCACAATAGGTTTCATGGAAGTTGTAGAAGCCACCACTTCCCAATTCCTGTAAATGTCTTTAGCTGAGAAGTCTTTAAACAAATCCAAAGTTTTCAACCAATGAATAGTCATAATAATTATCCTTTCTACAATTGCCTCCTTGAATTTCTCCACTCCTTTAAAGATTCTATTATTCCTTTCTTCCCAAACTGACCATAAGATAGCTGCTCTTAATAATAATTCTAAACATCCAAAGCAAAATGGGCTACTTTGGAGGGCAAGGTGGTAAATTTCCCCAATTATAGGCCAAGGTAAAGTTGAGTCATAATCTATAAACAAAACGTTAGTAGAGAAATAAAAGCATCTACAATCATATTGACTTTCTGATGGTTCATGCTACAGATCAATGGTGTTGCTTTTCATTGTTAAACATGCTTTTAATAATACGATAACTGAGCTTTGCTTTTATAGAAGTGGCACTGAGATATTTGATTATTTGTAATATCCAAGTAGTTCTGAATCTATTCATATTTCAGCAGTCTGTAAGGTTTTTGTAAAGATAAAAGTGCCTAGGATGGAGCCTTAAGATAGGACACAACACAACAGTAAAGAAATGACACATACAAGGAATAAAACCCACCATCCTATTGCCCTCAATTGGTAATCATCTACTTTAAATTTTTTTTCTTGATCAAAAGACCTTAACCATCCAACCCATAAAGACTTCAATAGATAGTGCCTATAGTATCATAAGAAAGGCTGGATGGTTATGATCAAGGTTCAAAATTTCGATATGTATCGGGCCGTATCGGCTGATACATATCGTATCAGTGGCTTCCCAATACGTCCCCACAGGGGGTGTTTCGAGGTCTGACCTGGTTCAGGGGGTAGACAGGCCTTAAACCATCCCCTCTGAACCAGTTTGAAAGAAAAACTAAAAAAAATAAAAGGCAAGCCAAGATACAGGCCGATACGCTGGTAGGGGCGTATTGGCCTATATCAAAATTTTGAACCTTAGTTATGATCATCTAATTTGATCAGATTTAATCTAGATATCCCCAGATAAAGCCCCTTGATGGATGCCCCATACTACATATGTACCTGATGCAGGGGTTGTTGCTTCATGTTCTCTTGTAGTGTGAAGTATGATTGTTCCAGAAAGCACAGTAATGAATCCACATACTTCAGAAGCTATACTGCTCACATTCTGGCCCGACCAATCCTATTGCCATAGCATATATAAAAATAATTACAAGATCTAAATCAAATTGCTTAGGAAATAACAGAAAACCTTCTTTTGTAGATAAACCAAGCAACAAGTTACCTTAAACATTATTGCACTGGCAACGATCGTCAATGTTGTGAACATTACATAGTAAATTGGAGAAACAATGGTTGTATTGAAGGTATCCAATGCCTAAACAGGGATTATGAAAAAGCATTAGAGAGTTTTTTCTCAAGATGATATACATGACTCACAATTCTTCTGAAATAGTAAAGCTAAATTGGAAGGGNGGGAGGAGACATGAAAAAATTGAGTGGTCAAGATGTCAAAGGAAAGGAAGAACTAGTTATGCCAACAAATGACTAGGCCAAGCACTAAACAGATAAAACACATGATGATACTGCTTTGCAAGATGATATCTCAATACATAGCATGGACGTGTGCACACAAGTAACCAATAGAGGAAGGTGGTTTAACTCCAAGGCATTGATATTTCTATGAGTGTCCCAACTCCCAATAAACCAGATACAGGTTTGGTTCTTGAACCTTCAAACTGGGCATCACGGATTTTAGCTATTCTAACTATGTCCCATCTTTAGGATGAACATTTAGGCTATGTTTGGTTTGAAGGAAAGTGCAGGGAAAGGAAAGGAAAGATAGGGAAACCTTTACAAACCTTGTATAGGTTTCCCTGTCTTTCCCTTCCTTTCCCTACCCTTTCCTTCAAACCAAACATAGCCTTAGGGTATCCAGAAAGACAAGGGGCTGACCAAGAGCTTTGCATGGAATGGCCCTTGTAAACTGACTGACCATTTTTTATGAGAATCCAAATAATTATTACAAGTTGTTAATCCCTAGAGAGTTTCGGACTCAAAATCAAGTAGAATAGGAAAAAAAATCTCTATTGAGATCAAGCACAGACACATTCAAAATCCTGATCCATAACATATCTATTTATCCAACTGGTTCTATTGAAGGATCATGGCCTTTTTTTTCATTTTATTGAAGGATCATCAACTAAATAACTGGATGCAACCCTGAGCATGTAGTGCCCTATGTTTGTTAACATTATAAGTAACCAGTGAATGCTTGGATGTTTTAATCACCACTAGATTGGATTTAATGCAATGGCAGTGGTTTCTTTTTAAGTTACTAGGATTTTATCCAATGCCAAAGAGTAGGCCTACATCCAACCTACCCCTCCCAATATCCCAGAGATACACAATGATTGGGAATTGGCCCTTTCGGGGTTACAGAAAGAGCTAGATTGGCTATGGGAAAGTCAGCAAGTCTCAGTTTTGGTTTAGTGTAGGAGTCATTTTTGTTATGAAAAGTCAAAAGCCAAAATGGATGGCATTTTTGGAGGTTGGTGAGGATGGACTATTTGTGACTTTGGAGAGGGTACACAGGTTACAGTTTTGGGATACTTGAGCTTTTGTGGGTGATCTCTATTTCTAACCAGTTTCAAAGAATGATTCCTCTCCAATGGACATTTGCACAACTGACAAAACCAAAGGACATAAAATATTGTTTAACCTATGCTTCTTCATATACACCATATTCAACAAATGCAAGTCAGATACACACTAATTAGGCTGCTGAATAAAATAGCTTAAAAGCAATAATTTTACATCATCCTTCCCTCAGCTATAAGGTCCCTTACAAGTGAAATTTTGTGATCTCAAAATCTGCCCTACAAGCAAAAACAGTTGAAATAACTGCATTTTCCAGACCTTCCAGCTACTACCACTTAAGAGATATCAGATGAAACACATGTTTAAACCACAAAAAGAAAAATGTTTCTGGGAAAGAAAAAATTGGCCATCTGAAGCCTGCAAATATATGCTTAAGTTCATGATAGGAGATAGATATCTAGTAAGTCCAAAGAATTTGTGTAATCTTAAATATTAAACAATATTGTTTCAATAAGAATGAAATACCAACCATTTCTATTTCTTAAAATGGAAAATAAATACCAAACTGGAATATGAATATGATATTAAAATAAATACCAAACCACTTTCTTTCCCCTTATCTTTTCTTCCCTTCCCTTTCCTTTTCTTTTCTTTCCTTTTCTCCTTTTTTTTTTCTTCTCTTTCTTTTCCTTTTCCTTTCCCTTTCCTTTTTTTTATTTTTTCTTTATTTCATCGGCCTTTTTTATATTAGATGTGCATTAGGCATACGCCTCTAGCACACCTCATGAAAAAAGCACAAGAGGCATACCTCTTGCACCTGAGGCGTACGCCTCAGAGGTGTCAGCGCCTCTGGCATACGCCTCAGGGCGTTTTGGGAGCGCCTTGCTTGGAGGCGCACCTCCAGGCGTACGCCTCCCACACCTTTTAAGAACACTGGTGCACAATATTCTTCCTAAGTTCCTCAGTCATATCAGGTATGATGTGTGTGATGGCAACTCCATCCTCCTTTGGGAGGATATTTGGGTTGGACATCCCCTTGAAAACCCTTTTCCCCTCCTTTTTCTTTGTTTCTCGATACAAAAAAGTTGTTTCCAAATTTTGCTCCTCTTTGGAAACCCCTTGGGCTCCTACTTGGGATTTTGGGTTCTGTAGAGGCTTAAGGGATGAAGAGATTGGGTGCTTAGTCAATTTACTTTGCCTTCTTGAGAAAGTTTGTTTGAACCTGACAAAAGAATCTAGACACCTCATTCGAAAGGATTCTTCTCTTGTGCTTCTTTCTTCAAACCCCTTTGATGTTCTAACCCTTAGCAGGTCTTCCCTGTTAAGGAAGTTTGGTGCAGACCTATTCCCCCTAAGATTTTGGCTTTTTGCTGGGAAGTGTACTATGGGAAAGTAAATACCTTGGACAATCTACAAAAGAGAAGACATTCTCTTTGTATTTCCCCCAACTGGTGCATCCTTTACAGAACTCAAAGCAAGGATTGTTATCATTTGCTAATTTCTTGTTCCTTTATTGCAGAGTTATGGGATTGGCTTCTCTCTTCGTTTGCAAGCAGTTGGAACTTGCCAACAGATTTAAGATTGCTTTTTGATCCCCTACTTTTGTTTGGCAACAGAAAAGGGGTATAATCATGTGGAGGTGTGCAATAGCTGCATTGATATGGACAATTTGGGAAGAAAGGAATGCTAGAACTTTTTTGGAGAGGGAAAGGAACCTTCAAGAGATTAAGGACTGTGTCTTGGCTAGGGTGATTCATTGGCTGAAATCTTTGGACTTGTTCCACCAATTCTCCTTTAATGACATTTGGAGGAATTGGGCAGCAGTAGTAAGTTGTTCCACTTCCAAGACTAAAGTGAGAACAAGCTGGTCATCACCTCCTACAAGTTTCTTGAAGCTGAATTTTGATGGAAGCAGTCTAGGAAACCCAGGGCCTTCTGGGTTAGGTGGGGTATTGAGGAATGAAGTCGGGAGTGTGATACTTATCTTCTCACGTCCTTTAGGAGTGGGAGACTCTACTAGAGTAGAAATGCTTGCTGCCCTGCAAGGTGTACAGTTTGCAGCTCAATTAGGGGTGGAACAACTAAGGCTCAGTTCGGAAGGAGTACAAATACAAATATGTAGAGTGCAAAACCTTGTATTTTGTATTATTTTGCATGTATTTGTACTCTTTCCAAACTAAGCCCAATAGCTGAAGCCTTGAAGGTGACTCGAAGGTTGTAATAAGCTGGTTGCAGGACCCAGAGTCAGTAGTTTGGTGCTTTAGGAATGAAATTAAAAAGTTTAAGATGCTGACAAGAAACATGGACCTAAGAATACAATGGGTGGGGAGATCAGTAAATGCTATGGCAGACTGTCTAGCCAAGCAAGGGGCAGCTAGGAAAGTTTTGCATTGGGCACTACTGTAACTTATTGCTTTTGTTTTCTTCTGTAGTGGAGAGATCGCAGCTCGGGCCTCTCCAAGGACTGCTTGTATGTGCTAATATTTCCAAATTAATAAAAGGTTCATTTATTTATCAAAAAAAGAGATTAAGAATAGTGGAACCGAAACATATGCTTGCTAACCAAAGATTGCATCTTAGTGAACAATGACTGAAAACATCAATGAAAGAAAGCAGTCAAACTTGTTTGCTTCATCTTATAAATAACAGACAACATGAACCAACAAGTGAATATGGCTACACTATACGAACCTTGTTCAGGTAATTCAATTGTGTGGTGACACAGATAACAGCAGCCATAACAAAAAACCATGTCTGAGGATAAGCTATCTGACTAATTCCCTCCAGTGTAAGCTTTATTGCAATTCCAATAGCTTTTATGCTTACAACCTGCATATCATGCAAGAAGCCTTGTAGAATCAAGCATTTAATAGACCATTAAAGAACATAAGTTACCATCTGTAAAGCTGTAGGAGCTAGAGGAAACATGAAGTACCGTCAAAGAACCCATTAATGAACAGATACCCAAGTAAACCAAGATATTTGTCTGCCCACAGCGAGGTGCAAAGTGCAACACCAGAGCTAATACCACTGATAAGGTAGCTGCTGCATAAAACAGAAATTCTGAAGACAGGAACACAGAAAGAAAACAATTAGCAGCTTCAATGAAGCAACCATTTTATAATAAATGTGGTTTAGAGCACTTAAGAACAATACCAGGCTGGGTTGCCAGAGTCCAAATTTCTTGTACAGAGTTTGGAGAATGCTCTTGGGGTGCATGGATTACAATCACCACCGAACCAACAACGCAGGAGACACATCCAAGCACTCCCATTTTCTGCATTCGCTCCTTCAGTGTGAAGTGTGCCAAGACAGCACTAGAATTGAGTAAACATGTTAGCTTGGAAAAGAAATGCATTCAAGAAATCTTCATCAAAATTATCACACAAAACATAAAGCTTACAGACTTTTGTGTCAATACCTAACAATTATACTCAATGCACCAAGTGGAGTCACTAGAACCGCTGGAGCAAAAACATAAGCCACAAAATTTGCAACTTCTCCAGCAATCACTGTTTGTCAAGAAAGTTCAGACATAGATCAATAACCCATGTTGACCATGAAAAAAAAAAAAACTAAAGATTCATATATGCAAATTTACTTGAAAACTTACTTGTCACCATCCCTGCCCACCAAAGTGGTTCTAAAAGGTATGTGTATCCTCCAACTCCTACAGTAATGAGAAATAATATCAAACTTCAGAACAAGAACACTTATTCAGTAAGTGAAGCTATATAATAGACAAGCTAGTTCATTATAAGAATGTTTTACTATTCAAATAGAGAGCAGATTTTTTATGACAAACTAAAATTTCATTAGAAGGAAAATAGGGAGTTACAATCTGGTGAACATTTATATACAACACAGAAACATCAACACAAATACACAACCAAAAACTGCCCTTAATAATTATCCCCAACAATATCCAATTTCCAAAGTAGACCAAAAATTACACTCAAGTACCCCCTATATGCACATCTTAAAATTTAGGATAAAACAACAACCAGTCCACAATCAAGGGTGCAAGTTGGGTACACGATTTGAAAATTTTACACAGCAGACAGCACCAATCTCAGGCCCTCAGACCCAGGCCCATTCAAATTTTAACAAATGCTCAACCTAAGCCCACCCAAGTTGCACCCCTATCCACAATCAACAAAGAAATATCAGCCACCAATCTTCTATTGGATTGTCTCTTTCCTTTCAAATACACACCTTTTCCTGTCTTTCCAAATGCCATAAAAGACCTGAAAATTGAGGGGCGGAATTTATTTGACGTGTAACTAGAAAAGACAAAAGACCGGGAGAAAAAAGAAAATCCCACAAAGTCAATAATAACATAAGGTGTAAAGAGTTAACATAGTTTAGTATAATTGCTATAGTCACTGAGGATTACAGTGGCTTCTTGCTCAATTTAGTGCATTTGTAAGATCATCTCATCCTCATTGTTCATCACTAATTGCATATAGCTCATGCTAACTATTGATTGGATACACATTCTCACAACATAATATTTTTAATTAACTGAGACATAACATCTTAGAGCTCCTGTGAAGAGAAATTCTGATGAAAATCTGATGACCTAAGAAAGTCTCACCAAGCAGAAAAAGAAACTGAGAAATAGGCAACCGAATAAAACTGTCACCATTAAATACTTCACGCAGATTAGAAACCTAAACGACTATAGCCAATATAATCTAATTCAAAATTCAAAATAAAACCTAGAACTAATTCTTCGGATCGGAAAAGAAGAAGATTAGCAAGCCATAAATAAACGAAGGATTTGGTTCGTACCTGCACGAATGCCAGAAGCACCAGCACGTTTGAGGCCTTTCTTCTTCAATATGAAGCTGGCGCCGATGAAAGCGCTTGAAAGGACTGCGAGAATGAGTCCTCTTGTATTGTCTGAGACGAACATACCTCTACTCTCTCTCTCTCCCCTGTGTACTTCAGCGCATAATGTATAGAACCTCCTCCCCGGAGAGGCGGAGATACAAACAAAGCTTCAATTCCCGCCAATAAAATTCGAAAATAGGACTGATTCCCTCCAAAACAGACGATCGAGATCGTCAGCGAGGGTGTTGCTGCAACGCGACGGATTTCTCTTATGTAATTTAACAGAGATTGGGAGAAACAGAGACGGAGATCTAAAATGCAACCAGTCAACAGTCGTTTGATTTGTCGGCTCTCGGAGTATTTGATGTCAGGTATCACGAGAGGTTTATTCCCCACCTCGCGAGACACGGAATAAAAATGGCACCATGAGATTTAAGTGTTGATACCCGAAATGCAACGCTTTTTGAGAGTTGAGAGGCGTTAGAAAAAGTTAAAACACCGACAGTAGTAGGCTGCGGTGATTCGAGTAGTTAGAAACAAGCTAACAGTCGTTTTGCTTTTGCCTTGCCTCGGTCCTTTATATACACGAAACGGCTTTGTCCGTTATATACGTTATCACTTATCAAAGTGGAACTTTTGTGAAAATGGACTAGATTTTTATCGGAACTTCGGAACTACCCCTTAATAAGTTTCAACTGTGAAAGATGAGATGGCTGGAGAGTAATTGAAGGGCACAAGAGACATTGCAATGAGGTGAATAAAGAACTAAACACATTTGACAAGCTGGATGACAACGAAGACGATAAAAGAAACAGCCAAACAGCGATCATCCATCGCAAGGACCAATAATTGCGATGCATTCACTTAATGACCTCGTGCGCTACAGTGCTAGTACGGAGAACTGTTTGAACTATTTTGATTTTGAGTAGGAATTAGCAAATTTCTCCGTTCCTACGGTCCTACCCCGAGGGGAGGGGTCGGCAATGGAGATTGCCTAAACGGGGACGGGGTGGTGAAGAGGATTGATAGTGATATCTGACCGGGGACGGAGATGGGGAGTAAAATCCCTGCTCAGGCGTTAACTCCGATTATATATATTAAACTAGCGTACGGGAAGAGTTTTGACCAATCAAAATCCACCCATAAATTTTGATAAATAACACCTAATTGGCTACGTTTATGATTTCAGTTGATTGGTCAGAAGTTTTTCAGATATCATATATTTTTTCTATCATAGTCAAATCCTTATATATTATTTTAATAATTTTTTATAATACAAAAATAGTATTAATTAATTTTAGATAAATTAATTATATAATCTTTAATAAGTAACAATAGTTTAATCTTCAATAATTATTAAAAATTTATAGCAAAAGTATATTTATAATATAAATATAATAAATAATTAGTAAAATATAATAATTATGAAAATATGTTATACTAATCAATAAATAGTGTAATATCCAATAATAGTTTAATCTCTAATTATTAATCAATAAATTATAACAAAAATACATAATTACTGAAAATAAATTTATAACAAAAAATACAATAAATCCAATAAGTACAATAAATTAAATTTCAAAAAGTTAAATGACAATAGTTTAATCTCCAGCAATTGTTGAAAACTTATTGTTAAATAACAAAACAAAAATAGATTTATACATAATTATTGAAAATAAATTTATCATAAAAAATAATAAATAATTATTGAAAATACAATAAATATTAATTTTAGTATGTATAAATATATATAAAAGATATAAATAAAATTTTAAATCTATTATTAATAAATATTATTTAAAAAAATATTTTTTGAAATTATTAATTGACATAAATGAAATAATGTTTTTATTAGAAGTACAATAACTATTGTAATTATTGTTCTATTTTTTAATATCTATTCAAAATATTTTCTGAAAGTTATTACATATTTTTGTTATTTGGGTGCTTCAATACCCCAAGTTATTTAATCTATTTTTCATTATTCCGATAATATTTAATTTTTTTAATTATTTATATTTTATATTGAATATCGCCGTGTCCAATTCAGAATCAAATGCAGAGCATAAAACGAAGTTCTTAAATTTCAATTGTGACCTGACTTGTTCAGAAAAACTCATGTATGAAACCGATTCAAGCTACTCAATTAGCCAGGATATGACAATCTCACAGCTCGAATCAGAGATCTTCCCAAGAAATTCATATATAGATTTCTCATATCTCAGTCCTTTGCTTAGTATCGAATCTTCTAACGATTTTTTAGAACAAACGAATGAAAATTCACCTAAGTCCGATTGTTTCTTATTGTTCCTTCCGTTTACAGAACAATTCTCAAAGTTAAGCTCCCATCCGGATGTAAATGAACCATGACACGGTCAATGGAGGAAATCTGTAAAGGCCAACAGGTTATGGCAAGGGATATCCTTGTCCAAATAGTTTGAAGAGAATCTATAATCAAAGACTGAAAGGTATTTTCGATTATAAAGGGGTAGTTTTGGTATTTTAAAATGTAACAATATTACGTGATAGCGCATATTGACAGGTATTGACGGGAAGATGATAATAAGGATGACATTTGTCAATTGTCAGAAATGTCCGAGGTACTTTAAATAATTTCTTAAACAGGGTAAGTTTGTGTTCATTTGCTAAACCATAGGGGGTGTTTAAGTATTTAATCCTAAATATTTTAAGGTTATTTTATAATTTCATTATAATATTTAAATAATTTTTTTAATTTTTTAATTCAAACTTTTTTTAGATAGATATAAATGATAAAGTGGGTGATAGGATAAACATTAATTAGAGATACTTTAGGCTATATTTGATTTAAAGGAAATGGTAGAGAAAGGAAGGGAAAGGCAGAAAAACGCATACAAGGTTTGTAAAGTTTTCCCAGCCTTTTCCTACTATTTCCTTCAAACCAAACACAGCCTTAGGAGAGAATAATAGGAGAGTGGAGGATAGAATATAAGGGAATTGGAGCGGGACTCTAATAAAGGAGATAATGGTGCCATATAGTTTTTTTTTTTTTTTTTTGTAAGTGCCATATGGCTAGATATCATGAACAGGGCTTTATTTCAAATTTGGAGTTGGGGATGGGAGTATGGTCCCTGCTCCTACTAAATATGTTTTTGTTGATGAGAGATGTTCCTATAATACGAGGTGGGATGATTTATCCAAAAAAAATAAAATATATATATATATATATATACAAGGTGGGATGTGCTACGAGGCCGGTGTGAATGCTCTATGAGCAACTAGTCCCAATTCACCATTGAGGCCATAGTGGGGTATGCGGATGGAATTGGGATGCCACAATGTATTCATTTGTATGCGGATGGAATTGGTGGGATGCTACAATGTATTCATTTTCATTTTTTTTTTCTGCAAGTATTCATTTTCATTTACTGGAGCAAATAGCAACTGTTACACCAGTACAATCATGTTTTTTTAGTGGATGACAATTTATTTTGTCTTGAGAAACAAAATCATGGGAAGAACCTTGATTGTCTACATCCCACAAAACATTGGCCACGACACCATACGCATTCCCAACGTCCCTAAGCATGATAACAAATGGAAAAGAGACTTTCCCAACGTCCCCAAGCATGATAACAAATAGTTTCCCCATGTAGGGCTGCAATGACCAGTTGGTATGTTGTTGGGATCTAGTGTTGATAGCTGATCCCAACTCTTCCATATGACATGTTAGGGTATGTTAGGGTTTGTTCATTTGAATGTGAAATTGTAATGATTATTTTTAAAGGTGTATTAGAGTTGTAAAATTTTCATGTCAAAGTCCGAATGCAAAGAATCTTATTTTGAAATCTGAATGCTAAGTTTTGAAAAGTAGCAATTTAGGTGGTGTTGGGGGATGTGGATGGGCCACAATATAGTTAATTTCAATCCACACCACGTATGTGCCTTGCGTTCGGTTGGTCATGGTATGGATTGATCCATGCTATCTTGTGGATCGGTCCATACCATAGTCCATGATCTCATCTACGGATTTATCTTGTGGAAGCATTTATATCACACCGTTTTGCTTTTGGAATAATGATCCCATACATCACATTGATGTTAACCCTATATAAACCTTTTTTCTTTTTACTCTTGCAGTACGTCTCTATGAGCTTGCCGCTCTACTCTTTTCTATTTGAACCACTTGCCATTGCTCCTCCGACCACCACTACATCGGACCACTAACGGTAATTAATATGAATATCATTATTTGTTATTTAATATTATTGTTAATATTTTTTTATTAATTATTAAAATTCTTAACAATTTGCTAATATTATTTTATTGTGTATATTACTAAAAAATATTTTTTTTAATGATTAACATAAGGTTTTAAAAACTGACCTAGAACTAGAACCGTTCTAGCCACCAATTTTCGGGTTGACAATCTCACCGTTCGGTCGAAAGGATAGCATGTTCCAACTAGGGCTGTAATCAGATCAGATATAGAAAAATCCGCATTTGATCCAATTACTGAGAACCCACATCTGAATTCGATTCAAAATCTGATCGGATTTAAAGAATCGAATTCGAGTTCGAACCCTAAGGATTTAGATTTAATACGACTCTGCTTTAAATTTTCTAAAATACCATAATTTGTTTTTTCAACTTTTATATATAATAAATTAATATAAGTATAACATATTAAATTTATTATATATATAAATACATAAATAATATAATATAATATATAAAATATATTTTTATAATTTTAAATATAATTATATAAATTTTATATATTAAAATTAATAAATATTATAATATAATCGAATTGGATTTTAATAAGATCAAATGGGGTCAAATCTGAATCCAATCTGATTATTAATTTGATGTACATTATAACATCCGAATCTAGTTCGATTACATAAATACATCCGAATTCAAGATAATAGGATCGGATGTCGGATTTGGCCTCAGATTTCTAGGTATCATTGACAGGCCTAGTTCCAAGTTCCAACTAAAAAAATTAAAAATATAATTAAAATGAAATGGCCAAAAGTCGTTGAACGGGTCGAACAGGTTGATGGTTTGACTTCCTAGGTCAACAAGTCGCTGACAAATTCAATGGTTTTTGGCCAAGGGCCGGGTTTGGGGTAAAATGGAACCAGTTGCCTGGACAGTTCCCAAGCCAAACTGTTTGACTGTCTGAGGTGGCATTCGGAACTGTGTATATCTTGTGGACGGAACCATTTTGGTCCAATTCACGGGATTTGGTCGAGTTCTGTTGGGTGTGGATGGGACCGATCTTGTCCATACCCCAATATAGCGTGGACAGGTACCGTCCACACCCCCAATTTCTCATCCACGGCAAAATCTCGTGGTTAGGGACCATTCACACTTGATTTTTGATCCCCTACTTCACACTTTCCTTGAAAGGCTACCCTATTATCTATTTCACATTTTAATATTTTTGTTAATAAAATATTAATTATTTTACTTAATTATTTATTATTATTTTTTAAATTTTAGTAGTTTATCAATAAAATTATATTTTAAATATTTAAAATATATTTTTTAAAATTTTAATTAT